AACCGATGAGATTTTGCAAATTTTATGCGTTTTTTTTTTTAAAAAAGTTATCAAGCTCTTAAAAAATCACCCGATATAAAAAGGTTTTTTTTGTATTAAGGTTTAAGAAGAATTATTTATACTTAATTTGCTATTTTATAAATAAAAAAATAAATATTTAAATTATATTAACTGGAATAAATCGCACCCGTAGATTTTAGAAAATTCAAAAGTTATTGGCATATATCGGTCAAGAATCGCAAAAAATGGTTTAACGAGCTTCAACGTCGCATGCTTGTGGCCACTTCACAGCATGTGCCACTGTTTAAGCGGAATTCGAAAATGTTTCTTTATGATTTCATGCCGTCGACAAAACATAGATCCAACCAGTCGAAACAATGTACCTTAACGGCTAACCTGCTCAAAGGAAATGAAGATTGGGCTATTGGTCTGATAAGAATTAGTAAGACTTTCCGGATATACATATATTGACTACATAGAGTAGGATAAAACGATCTCCGAGCTCTAGTACGTCAAATAGGTCTACAGGGTTTGTAATAAAACTGAGTCGATTTAAAAAAAATTATTGAACCAATAATTAATAAATAATCCTGTACCCCGGTTGCGGAAGCGTTGGGATGCTGGTCTTAGTTAGGTTTGCTAGCTAGGAACGCCTTCTACTAAATCTAATCGATGCACGTACGCTCCGAAGTACAGTCGCCGCGGAAGAAAGTCAGTCCTATCACTTTCCGGATAAACCCTGTATGTATGGCTTAGCAGTCAGCCAGTGTAACCCCCAAACTTAACACATCGAATTAAAAATCGCAGAAGTGCTCTTCTACTTTGACAACACACGGTCTTCCGACATATTCAAGAAATTGGAGAATCGCTGGTTCAAATGTAGCGAGCTAAAAGAAAACTGAATTGAGAAATAAATCGCCATTTTCCCAAGATTTTTGGTTTTCTTTACGTGGCTAAATTTTAATTAGACCACCATCGTATATATGTATGTATGCAATATTTTTATTATTTCCAGTACCCTTCCTAGTTCTAGCGTAGTTTTATATGAAGTACTCGTACGACAACAAATCTACGAAAACTTACACATTAAGCAACAACAAGTAAAACAAACATAAAAGACATTTAATTTATAATTGTTTATTATTTCTCTATTTACTACCACTAACAAAGCTTCACAGCAGCCCCAAGAAACGCTTCAATACAAACAAACAAAACCACTTACCGTATTGAGCCCGGCTCCGTTGGCTGCAGCTTCGGGCTCGTTTAAACTTACGACTGCGCCTGGCTTGTTAGTTGGTATGAAAAAATTGAGCGGCCGGCACTTAAGCCTTTCGTGGCTTGTACGCGCCAGCAACAACAATTGATAATATCGATCACAGTTGTTGTAACTGATCGATATACGAATGAGCGCGGTAAATAGTGGCGTTTGTTGTTGCAGTATGAGTGAATATCGTACTCTCAGCGCGAGGCAAATATAAAGCTAGTGGGTTTACAGGAAACCGTTCAATTGCAGTTCAGCAGTCCATCGACGCGATCAATCGTAAAAAAAAGCGCAAAACAGTGAGAGTGTGATACAAATTGAAATATACCTTATTAGAAGGATATCAAAGTGAAGTTTATGAAAATATTAAGAGGCTAATATAGGTTAAGCCCGATAACTATTATGGACAGTTAAAATTTCGAATTCGAAAAATTTGAATGTTGTTGAAAAGTGTTGAAAAATATATTGCTTTCAAATAATTTGCGATCATCCTTTATATGTTGTAGTTGCAAGAACATTATATAGTGTTAAGTGCTCAAAGGCCTCACGTTAATGAAATACAAAAATAATCGCGGCACAATACTGCAGCTACAATTTAGAACTTTTCTCAAACGGAAATTTTAGTGAAAATTGTTTTATATGAAGTATTGTTTTTAAAGGTGAGTAATTATGAAAAAATATATTTTTTTATGTGTAAAAATATAAAAATCAAAATTATTTTAGAATAAAAAACTAATGTAGTAATTTTCTCGTTGGAAAAAAAATATTTGTACAAATTTCAAGGAATAAAATCTAGTCTAAGAACTTTAAATTAATTTTTTTAATGCATACTTTTCATTAAGCCGCTTATGTGTCTTGTATGTTGAAAAAGAGTTTGAACTTGAAATTTTTACTAAAAATATGGAGTTATTATAATATGTAAAATTTTTTTTATTCAGAAGTTTAAATACTATTTAAATTTTTAAGAAATTTAATTTTTTTTAAGAAAAACGAAGCATTTTTATACTGACTTTATACATAAATTAATTTAAAAAAATTTTTTGGCATACAAGCTTACCGGTAAAACTTTATAAATAATTAATAAATATGTTTTTACAATTTTATTAGTTTTAAATTTTATATTTATTGAAAATATTTTTTCTGTATGAAAACTGTAATTTTTAAATTGTTCGTTATTTATATATACATACAAACATAACCTCCAATTTTGCTAACGGTTTCTTTCTCGAAATCTAAGAGTCATATTTAAATTTTATTTCCAAATATAAAAAAAAAATATTTCAAAACAAAATGATTGCCGAATTTTGAAAAAATATATATTCGGCAATCCTTTTGTTTTGAAATATTTTTTTTAATCTCCAAAGTTTAAGAAAATTCCTACTAGTAATTTTGAAAAATTTTCTAATGCTTAAAGTATTTTTCT